CCCCAAAACCCCAAAACCCCAAAACCCCAAAACCCCAAAACCCCTACTTGTGTTAACCGGTGGACTTACATGTTCATATCTATTTAAGAAAATAAAATTAGAAATTATTAAGAATTATGGAAAAGTTTACTAGATACCTGAAAGACGCCTGGGCTCTTACCCAAGCTCTTTATGCACCAAAAAAAGCTTCATTCATCAATGTATCACTTGGAAATGTCTCTGGAGATATGGACAGTGTGGTCTGTTCAATAGTTCTTGGATATTATCTCACATATAAACAAGGATTTTATGAAGAGGTTAAAGACGAAATTGATCCAGAGAATTTGAGCGAAGAGCAACAAAAGAAGTTCTTTGTACCAGTCTTGAACATGAACAAGGAGGATATCGTAGCTAGGAGTGATATTATCCATCACTTCGAGCTTAACGGGATTAACTACATGGAAATTCCTGCATATGATGAAATAGACCTTAGACATTATGCTGAGCAAGGAACTCTCAGAGCAAATCTTGTTGACCATAATTTCCCTGACTGTAATCAAGAATATTTGGTAGAGCATGTTGAGAGAATCTATGATCATCACTTTGAGAAGCCAGCTGAGTATCCTAATATGGTGTTCAAAGACATTAGGTTCTGTGGTTCAGCAGCCACACTTGTAGCCAATGCAATGCTAAATGACGAGGAACTTAAGTCTGAGCTTTTAGATCATCAGGTAGCATGGTTCGCCTCTGCACCAATCTTAATAGATACTGTTAACTTCAAAGAGAAACAAAGAGGAAAGAAATGGGACCAAATCGACGAAGATGTATACAAGTTGGTCAAGGAAATTGCAGGAGACACTATTCCAGAAGATTACTTCAGAACTCTTTATCTCAAAAAGACTGATGTTCAAACTAACATTAATCTTGGATTCCGTCTCTTGGCAAGAAAAGACTACAAGAACTACAAAATCAATGATGAGTTGTTGGGAATATCCACTATTTTCTTAGACATCAACATCTGTGACAATGAGTTTGGAGCTGAGAACCTTGTTAAAGAATTTGATGACATCATGAAGGAGAGAAATCTAAGCATGTACATGGTCCTCACCCATTATGAAGAAGATCATGACGTTAGAAGACAAATCTTAGCTTATTCTCATAACACAGAGTTGGTGGAGAAACTCAAAGACCTATTCTCTAATGGAGAAGACTTCAGCACTGAGCCATTGACTGAGAACAAGCTCAATGACATAGAGAACTGATATGTTTGGCAAAACAACTACACTTCACAATCTAGAAAGAAGATAGAGCCATTGATTAGAAAGCATTTTGCTGTTGAATAATATCTTGGTTCATTTTAAGAAATAAGTTCAACATTCCTATCGTTGAAAGGGGTTTTGGGGTTTTGGGGTTTTGGGGTTTTGGGGTTTTGGGG